TCCATAGCATAGCTTGAGAATGCTGTGATAGATGTGTGTGTCAATCAGGAGGTATCTGGTGACTTCTGAGCTCATTGGAATTATAACAAATTGATCTGAAAGTTGGTGCAGGAATTTTTTCACTACTCTCCAGCCTTGTGGTTCAGAGGTGCAATTCCTCTCTGTGCTTTTTTTGTTTGTTTTTACTTTTGAGCCTTTATGTTAACATTCAGATACTTCCTTTTCAAGCTCCACTGTGTAGATGGCAGACTTCCCTTCAATACACAGCCTGGCAGTGTTAGCTGTCTGGCATTTCATATGGAGCATCAGTTCTGTGTCACTGTATAAGTGTTTGCATGCTTCTTACATCTTTATGTAGAGTTTTAAGCATTTTCTCTGTTCTTACGAAACTGCCCATCAGTGAATGTTTCTGGTAGTAATGTAAAGTGGAGAGTCCTTACTATGGCAATTTAAGGAATTACTTATTTCAGCATAATTCTTGTTGATAACTTGTAACAACATCATCTCTGAAGAAGAGAGTCAGTTTCTTCATAGTTCTCTGCAATGGGTTATACAAAATGTTTTTGTATCCATTAAGAAAAAGGAAAGCCTGCTCCAAGAAGTCCAGTTCCTTCGTCGACTTGGTTTTTAGTTAATGTGTTCTTTTGGTAACCTTTTCATCATTTCATGGGACTGTGTAAAGCAGTTCAGGAAAAGCAGGTTAATAGAAGAATATAGACTCTAAAGTGTTCTAAAAGGTGTGGGTTTTGGTCCCAGTGGAGACTGACACTCCAGGCTACTTACTGTAGCTAGAATGTATTGATTTTCTTCTCCCCCATTTTAGCTGCACCACTGAATTAGGTATTGTGAAGCATCTTTCCTTGTGAAGAGAGGAAAAACTGTCATGAACTTTTTCACCCTAATAGTGCAGCATTTCAAACTGAACTCGATTGAATGGAAGTAACTCAGCTCCCCACTCCCTTGTCTCCCTCTCCAAAAGCTGTTCCAGCAACCATGAGAAAATATGATAGATGTTTGTAATAATTAATTTTAAAATCTTTTTTCCTTAAAAACAACAGTAGTAAAAATCGGTGAAAACTATGCGTTCCAGTGGCATGATCTCTTAAGGTTAGCAAAGTGGTCTTGTTCAGGTTTCCAGCAAGATGTTCAACTACTGTATAATTGGCTGATGAGTAGGTTTGGACCTAACTAGAATGCCAGTGTTCGATTTAGGTGTCCTCTGTGAAGATATGTCACCATTTACCACGACTTTAGTGACAATTTTCTAAAAAGGAAACTCATGGGAAATCATTATGCTGTTTATATATGTCCCTTGTTGGAGAGCATTATCCTGTGATATTTTAGCACTGTTTTCCACTGCATGATGGCATCTAGCTAAGGTTATGGCAGAACAAGTCCCTGTGCAATTTTGTGACTATATTTTACTTGCTGGAGGAGAAAAGATAACCGACAATTAATTATTTCAGATGTCAGTGAAAGAACATGTGCAACTAATCAATGACATCCTTAGGGAACTTGATTTTATGAAACTGATAAGGTAGAAAAATTGGGATTTTTTGTGATTTGTGTTACATAATAATAATTGCTCCTTTTCAATGAAAAAGACATTTCTGCTGATGTAAACATCAGGGTTTCCCCTGTGGGTTTTGGGGTTTTTTTGTTGTTGTTGGGTTTTTTTCCTGAAGCATAGAGTAGTTCATTAAAGTGTGACAGTAACAGATAAACACCCTTTATGATTTTCTAAGAAAATGTGGTGCTTATACTCTTAGTTCAGCTGAAATCAATGAGCTTGAAAAATGTATTTCTAGAGCCATTTCCCAAATCGCTTACTAGAGGCTGTGTTAGGTGTTTTAGTTTTGGTGGTTTTATTTATTGTAGGAAGAAAATACCTGTGCTGTTTTGGTTTGGTTTGGTTTGGTTTTTTCTTGAATTAGTCTATTTAGCACTCCAGGGCTATTGGATCATAGGAACTCTTTCCTATGATTTGGATTTGTTAGAAATTCACACTGCTAACCAACTAATTGTAAGGTTTTATTTCTTTGAAAAAAATAGGTCTTTTAAGTTTCTGGTTGAAGAGCAAACAAGGCAGTAGTCCTGTTTACAAGCAAATGTCATATATTCACTTGAACAAAGTCCACAGTTGAGCACAGTACATAACAAATTATAAATAGTGCTTTAGAGACTTTACCTGCTGGTTCCTTTTCTGCTCATATATTAAAGGTCATCAAGTTTGCAAAATGTGTATTGCTTACAAGTTTTCAGTGAGAAGTAAAAATCTGTTGTGTTATGGGTTGTTCCAGGTAAAATAAGCCAATTACAATAATACTTATTTCTGATTTAAGAGGGTTTTTTTAACACCTTAAATAGAAAGCTGAGAATGCTTACGTTTTTCTCTGGAGGTCTGTTTTCGGGCCACCAGCAGAGGTAGGAAATGAAGCTGAAGAGACCTAATCCAGTGTGGGTGGGTTTTGGAGGGGTTTTTTTGTTCCCACTTTTTTTTTTTTTTTCTCTTTTTCATTTGGTTTCTACGATGTACACTAAATGGCTGGATTATATGTCAAGCATTTTTTTGTACTGAAGCCAATGAAGTCAAGCCAGAAGATAATTTGCCCTTTTATTAGTATAAATAACTTGTACCTTCATTTATTTTTTTAATTCCTGGTATCACATTACATTACATCCATTTAAAAAACCTTTTTGTTCAATACACTCACTCCTCCCTTCATAAAACTCCAGAAATTATAATACTTGCAATCAACAGGGTTGACATAAAAAATACAGTGCAGTGCAAAATTGCTTTTGCTTCTCTACAAATTCTACATTTTCAAGTTTTTGATCACCAAAGCCGAGTAATTTATGGTTTATAAACTACATGGATTAACACGCTTACTATGTGCTTACATCTTTTTGTGAAATGTATTTCATCAGGGCAGGATTAGCAAGGCTTGGGTTGACTTCATGCATGTGGTGAAAAAAAAACAAACTAGAACAAGCAGATGAGATATTAATCTGGAGTGAGTGGAAATAGAAACAAATATGTCTGTAAGAGCTGTCGGGAGTTTTCTCTTCTTCCCTGACAATCATTTCTGTTCAGTACCCTCAGCAGGCAGCTCAACTTTTGGTAAAAGCTGTCAGGAGGCATAGGTATGAGATTGCATGTAAGTACTGCATGCCCTTAAACTTCTTCATACATTTTGCAGTTCTTCATTGCATATAATTAGTAAGATGGTTTTATTTGAGCAAACCATATGCATTGTTATGCAATTCACATACCTTCTGAATATGCATCCATCTCCACCCCTCCTGCTGTGCATAACTTGAAAGCAAAACAGAATAAATTTTGCAGCAGCAAAGTGCTGATTTTGCAGAATGCGAATGAATTGGCATTTTTAAATGCAGCATCTTCATATAGAGGTGAACTGAAAGGCTTCACATTTGCCAACACTTCAAACCTCCCTGTTGGTTATATCCCTTAAAATCTAGAATAGGAAAGTTCAAAACATGCAGTTTTCTCTGTTTGGTTTTTTTTTTTTCAACTTATTAGTAATGGCCTTAGCTGTTGAAAAAATGTGGACTCTGAATTCAGATTTGCAGATGTAACGTAAAAAAAAGAAGCAGTTCTCAAATACCTGTTTTCAAATGTGTTTCTTAAGCCTATGCACATCTTTTGTAGTTTTTGCACTGAGTTTTTGTTACACAAATAACCAAAGCATTTTCCATAAAACCTGCTATAAAATCTAGATGACCTCTAGATGTCTCTTCCAACCTAGTTTTTTTGTCATCCTGTTATCCTCTACATAGCAATACAGACCCTAGTGATACCGTAATGTAAAAGAATACACATGCAGGAGTAAGGTACCTCCTGAATATAAGCAGAATAATGATTCTTCCCATGACCAGTCTTGTTTCTTTTCTAGGTTTGTCACATTGTAACAGTGAAGAAGATTAACATAGATAGATTTACTTGTACAAGTCATTTTATTTATAAATCTAATGAAATTTCTTCCATGCATACATTCACTGCCAAGCAGGTATTTATAAAGGAAACCTCTGCAGGAAACCGCTTGTGGCTTTCATCTGCATGTGAAGTACATGTGTTATCAGAATATATGGCAGTATTAACAGTAATTAAATAGGGGCTTAATCTTTCAGGTGAGACATTCATTGAATTTATGAACTGATTTTCTTTGCCTTGTGAAAATTAAAGATCAACAATTACTTTTGGTCTGCTTCTATAACACTGTCATAGATATTTCCTTTGAAAGTTATGCTTTCATGATCAGCATGCACCTAAGCATCTCATTTATTTGCTGCATATTCTTAAGTGTACTTGTAATTTATTTACTGAAAATTGTAAATAATCTCATCAGTGGAAAAACAAAGGAGGATGGAGTCCAGCCGTTATGCCGTTTCTGTGGAAGAATGTGGTAGGTCTAGCCAGCAACTCTGGTCAGAGCTTTGTCATTAGGAGTCACAGTGCAGATACAAGGAGTATGTTGGAAGCTGATCTGTCAAGCTAAGCACAGTTTCCCTTGTTAGCATTTACCAAGATATGCACTAATAAAATTGCACAAAGTGGAGACTTCCTTTTTCCAGATATGCCAGGCAGGAGTCTTCTCTGAGGTGAACACAAATGCTCTGAGCTGTAGCTGCTTTATGTTTTAAACAAACAGAATTGTATTCACAAATGTGTGTGCCAGTAACTTAGTTCCAGAATCAGGCATCTTTGCTTGGGAGTCATCTAGCTTGGCACCAGTGATCGCAGGTGAATAATGTAGTAGGATAAACTGAATGTATTTATATGTGATTCATTAAGAGCTGTGGTTTCTCTATTGAAATGAAGCCCTCCAAAATGGGAGAAGAATTGAGAAGTGCTACAAGTGGGAAATGTTTTGGTAGCTTAAATAAAATGTTTTGGTAGCTTAAATAAAAGTGTGTGATTTCTAAAATATTGAAAATGTTTGGGTTTCTTTTGTGCCTTTTTTTTTCTTTTTTTACAGACAGTGATTTTAGAAAATGAAGAGCTCCCTAAAATATTTCTTGACTTTCTGAACGTTCGCCATGTACCTACCTTGCCAAAAGCAGAAAGCTGTGGGTAAGTTCTTATTTACTGAAAAATACATGGAGGCCAAAAGGCCCTTATCCACTCAGTGCTGATGCAATTCCATTGACTTAAAATGGTCTTGCTGCCAACCCTAACACTGCAAAATAAATGGGCAATAGGTTCATGTTAAGTATGTTTATATATCCCCAAAAAGTGGTAAAATAAATCCAGCTTGCTCAAAAACAGAATTAAGGTTTAATGTAATATTCTTGGAAAGGAGAGTTAAAATGAGAAAATAAGATTTTCTCATAGATCTTGAAGTATCTACTAAAATGAATTTTGTAAGATATTCATAAACACTCACTGAAGGTGCAAAGAAAGCCTTTGTATGTGTTTTATGGTCATAGTATCCAGACAAAATAGAAGTTCATTCTGTGATCTTTTTATGATCTCCCTCAGCGTGTTTGAAAATGGCGTCCGTCACCTTTCTGATGACATCTACCCCAATGTCCCCATTGCCCTTCCTCTGGGTATGGTTCTTGATCAGGGTGTGAGAAAGGAATCTTAATGTGGTTACGATGAGCGTAATGTCTACAAAAATACCCTGAAACAGTGTAAACAGAAGCTTGTTACTATTTCCAGCTGTAATGTTTGTAGGGAGAAAAATTTTTTGCCCACAAGCTAATGTAGCTGGGAAGGCCAGCAGCATCACCAGAACTCACTCCCCAGAAAGCTGTGTGATCCCTCTTCACTGTAGGGTAGACTGTGTGGATCTTCAGTAGAGAGAGGGCAAAAGACAAAATAATTTTGAAGCCCCCTTACACTCAGGGGTGTCTATAGCCCAGAGCAATTCAGAAGGAGACGGACTTTAGTTTTCACTTGTAGTTAGTGACATCAGCCAGTAACTTCCATGGGACTGTACCCCATCACTTCATAGGCAGATGAAGAGAGAGACAGAGAAAGAGAGAGAATGAGAGAGTGAGAGATGCTTGTGAATTTGTTTCAGTAAAATGGATGCTGCCATTTCCAAGTAATGGTGGTTGTGAAATTATATTATCTCCTGTATTCATTTCAGCATGCTGCATTATGCAGCTACTGACAAGAAAAAGGTGACTCCCTCTGATGGTTCTTAAAGAAGTTGGTGTTTGTTATTTTTGTAGAGTTAATTTTGTTGTAACCAAAGCCTCTTCTCACTTGCAGCTCTTTTGATGAAACAGAATCTGAAGAATCAAGGTGAGCTTGATTCCTACTCTTTCTAGGACACCAGATGAATAATCTACTTGAAGTTATTGGCATTTACAGTATTTGTTCCATGTAGTTGACAAAATATCAATAGATTAGCATTAAAATTAGGTGTGCATGTTAAATATTACAGCTAGTTTCATCAGCTGTGCTGGATTGATCCTTTTGTAGTATGTATTGAGCACTCCTAGACTTGTACTGAGAAATTCCTTACAAAACCCTGATAGAATACTGCTAGCTCAGAAATATTCCTGGGAAAATCTTTTTACCCACTGAGGTGTATTTTTCATAGAAAGATTTAGCAGAAGGAATTAGAAGTTTGGGTTCTCCCCTATGGGTTTGATAGAGCTTTGTATGTATCCGGTTGCTCTGCTCAGCACATGTATGTACAGAGCAGTGTGGAAAGGGCTGACACTGGCTGAGGGAGGATATCTGTACTGTGTCCAGGGTGGGAGACAGCCCTGTGAGAGGCTTCCAGGGAGTTTCTGTCCATGGGTGAGGTGTACAGCAATCACTTTAGGGGCTGGAAGAACATGGTGAAATTTTAAGTCTGATTATTAGCCTGAAGAACCTGTAAACCTGGTTGTAGGTGATTTTGTAGCCTGCATTACATCAAGTACCAGGGAGCAGAACAGGATCAGGAGGTCTCAAAGCCAACTGCAAGCCACCCCTCTGGGATACACCCCTTCTCCTCCAACTTTTATGTTAATGGTTTTACTGTGCCTGAGGAGCACTGAGCTTTGCTCACAGAAGATATAGCCTGCCCTTTTCAGGCAGCACGGGTGCACAGAAATGTGCCACACCAGCATGCCTCCTGCTCAACCACCTCATTTTATCAAAGCTAGTTTGTAGAATATTCTGTTTGCTGTCCCTTGATACTGACATCCCTGTTCTTGACCTTTCCAGCAAACTGTCCCACCAGCCTGTGCTGCTGTTCCTAAGGGATCCATATGTCCTGCCTAAAGCCAACGGTAATCAAAGCTGTCATCTGTTAACAGCGTTTTACTGATTTGACCCTGCACCACATAAACCATGTTGTTCTTATTATTAATACCAGCCTAGTCAAATGACACTGGTCCAAAATCTAATAACCTGCCAATAAAATTACAGTTCTTGTGTAAGAAACCATTAAAACATTAAGTGGGGTGGGTGAAATTTTCTGCCACAGTTGTTCTCACTGATGAACCTCCTGAGAATTCAAAAGACAAAGAACATTGCTTTTTTATTGTTGACCCTTTGAGCTGTTTTGGCTGAAGCATTTGCACTTAGAAGCCCAGTTCTTTCTAAGTGCGTTTTCCTTAAATACCAGTTGATCTACTGTAAGCACGTTTGTATTTCCATTTGGTTTATTACTATTCCTTATCATTTATAACCTCTAGAGCTCTTTAGGGGGAAAAAATCAGAATGTATACTTTAGGTATAGTTTATGCGTTTCACAGGACATTTACAATGGCCTTCATCTCTTAATACATGGCTCCAAGGAGTGTTTGAAATAGCTTGCTATAAACCCTTTTTTTTAAATAAAAAGTTATTTGCATTATTAATTCAGAGAACTTACCTTCTGTCTTAAATTAAATGTGTGCAGGATAAAAAATACCATTTTTAGTACTGTGTTCCTCCTGGCTTTATCATTTTACTTCTTTGAACTATTACTTCTACTAAATTTTGTATTAAAAATGTAATACTCCCAAGGGAGAGTTACTTCCTAGACCTGCAAAGTAAGGGTTTGTTTAATGTGGCATTTTGTTTGATTTTACAAACTACTGTGTTGAAATCAAGATTAAAGTTCTTGAGCTGCCTTGAAAATCATTACATTCTTAAGAGTAAATTTAGGGAAGAACACTGGTTTGCTTGGAGTCTTTTAGTCAATGAAATGTCTTGAGATTTTCTCAAGATGTGCATAAATACCTGAAGGGAGGGTGTAAAGAAGACAACTACAGGCTCTTTTTAGTGGTGTCCAGTGGCAGGACATGACCATCAGGCAATGCTTTGTCACTCTGAGAGTGACCAAGAACTGACACGGGTCACCCAGAATGGTGATGGGAATTTCCATCCTCAGAGATACTCAGAAGCCATCTGAATGCCCATAGGGCCCAGACTCGTGTGTTTTGAGAGGGTTAAACAGTTGATCAACAGAAGGACAGTGAGGAGAGACTGTCACTTGACAAGCTCCTGATCCAAGCAACAACAGTAAGGCAGAGGCACCCACAGCATTACCACTGCCTAAAAGTTGGTTCAGACGCTGCCTATACTAATTGTTTAGAGTAAGCCACGTTGCTTGTCTTAATCTTACTGATTAATGCTCCTCTTAATTGCAAACTTGGATTTCTCAAGAGCAGGGGGGGTATAAATTATGAACATCATTTAATTCCATACCATTACTGAGAAAATAAAATGGATTTCATATACAGTTATCATGAAAAATGAAGACAGTGCTCAGATGTTTCCATCCCACATGTAACATTTTGCTGTAAGACTTCCATTGAAGATTTTGCAGTTCTATGATGGAATTTATCTTCCTTGCCTAATGTGTATTCCAAGTAAGGCTAAGCTTCCTTTTCTTGAAACATTTAGAATTTAATATGGCAGGTGAATATTATTTGCATTCGAAGACCCTAAACCATCAGATTTGTTTGCAAGTTATTCTTAATGAATTAAAACACAAATGACAATGCGAGTTGTAGTTTAAAAAAGGAAGAAGGAAACCAAGTCTTAAGGCTCTGCTCAAGTTCTACTTAGAAAGCAACAAAATTGTACTCTTTGTAGAAGGCAAACTCTGAAAGTTGTTGGAATCAGAAGTGGGATCAGAAGAAACACTAATTGTCTTTCTTGGATACCTGTTTTAACATCTTTCCATAAATCAGGAAATTGTGCATTTGTGGAGTTTTAAAGAAGTAGTTCTTCCCAGGACATAATACTAAAAGAACAATTTTCCTTCCCCTCATTGCACTGTTACATGGGTTTTTAAAAATACAGTTTTGCTATTATTCTAAAGGCTGGACCCTAAGCATTGTTGGGTTGCAACACAACTTTCCAAAATTAAGAATCACACTGTAACACTGATTTTCAGAGTCACTTTTTTGTGGTGTATTGAACAGTCTGAGTGCATGACCACATCATTCTCTGTAGAAGGTGGCCACTTCTTTTAGAGAGGGTAAAAAAAAAAATTACATACTGTTTTGAAGAAAAATGAAGGAAAAATCTAAAATTTTACAAACTGAAAATTATACCTCAGAAGCTAAAAAATGGAATCTCATATTAAGTCACTCGTTTGAAAATCGTTGACAGTTCCTTAAGCTGTTTAAGTATCACATATCTGCAAGACTGTGCTTTGATGTATTTATACATCTAACTTAAATTAATATGCTTCATTTTTTAAGCAACAAGGCCTTACTGTAAATCATGCTGTAAAGTTGTATCATTTTTAAAATCAGCAGTAGTTTTCATATTTCCATTTTCTACTGTATGTTGTAGAAGAACCATTAAGAACTGGTTTCAGGATCTCCAGCATTTAATTTAAAAGGAAAGCATCAGATTGCCCTTACAAGTGTATTTTTAATAACATTAATGACAACATCATAGGGTTGTTCTACCAAGATGACTGGGGATAGCTGAGCTTGCAGGACTTGAGGAATCATTATTGGATTCAAAATATTAATGCATAATTTATAGTGATAACTTGCTATGAGAAGTTGATGAGAATTACACATCTATTGTCTGTTGTGGGGATTGCAGTTTGTTAAAACATCCTACAATATCTCTGCTTGTAACATCTTTAGTACACTGGAATCACCTTATCAATATCAAGGAAATGGACCTGAAGATTATTTTTTCCCTAGCAAGATGAAATACACTTTTCGCTCAATGTTTTTACCTCCAAAATTATTTTAGAAAGAATTAGGAGCAAAACCTAATTCCCACACACGTTAGGTGATCTAATTCATCAGGTATCTAATCATTTTTTAAAAAGTTGCATCTCCCATTTTTTAATATCCTCATAGGTGAGGGAAAGATTTGATTAGCAGGGGAAGTTCTCTAGATCAGAACAATCTGTTCTTATAGGTAAACCTATATCCTAGTGTACTGGCAATATTAAGATTGTAAGATGTGGTCAGAAATTTTCTTAATGCCCAATGATTTCATTAAAAACACAGGAGTTGGTGCATTTGAAAAATATTATCACTTCAGTGAAGTACATCCTGCCATTCCTCTGTTTGGATCTATTACTGTGTTTTATCAGGTAATTCTTTCATGCTAAATTTAGCATAAAAAATGTCAGTTTTCTCTGTATCTGTGGTAAGAACAGTGCGTTTTTTTCCTTCAGGTATTGCAGGATGACTTTTTGTAATATGACTCCTTATGTTTATTCAACAACCTAAAATTTTCCTGTCTCAAATAATCATCTCTGTATAGGCATCCTCAAGTCTTCTCAGTCTAAACACTGCTGTAAACCACAATGGAAAAACAGCTTTGAAGTATTCCCAGTAGCAATCTTGGAATTCCTTCAAGTATATTGAGATTTTGTTAGAAATTGAATTGCCAGTGTAATCCATCTTCTGTGTGAGAAAAGATTCAGATAAAGAGCTGGAGCCTAGCAGCATTAAGTATTAGAACATCCCTTTAAATCAATAAGCTACAAATCTGGCAGTGCATTCATGCAATGCCCAGTGCTACACTAGCGTGGCTGTAGTGCTGAAGCAGCATTACCAAAGCACGTCCTCAACATGGAAAAGCAGTTGAGTGATGCAGTAACCCAAATTTTATGAGGTCTTAACCCAGTTAAGTTTCACAGAAACATTGATAGTGTACTGACATAGATATGAAAGCAAGGTATTTTATTTTTTATTTTATTTTTTTTTTTTACAGATGACTTTGCAGATGTGGTTATAGAAGGCATTCTACATGGAATATTTTATCCTCATTTACTGCCCAGGTAGAAGTGACGCATGGCTAGAAGCAGCTGAATCAAGTTTCCAAATCATGTTTAATGAACTAAGAGGAATGAAATTCTCTGATGTGAAAATTACAAAATTACATTCAGGAACAAGAGGCACAACCTCAGTTTAAGTTCAAGCATTTTATCTTTTTTAATAAAATCAATGATGTCACTACAATTGCTGCTTAAAAAAAAAAAAAAGATATGGAAACAACAGTATTGAAGTTATTTATACCTTCTGTATATTGACATGCTCTTAACTATTTAACACTAAAAGCTGAAAGTCATACACTGAATTACACTAACCTTTGAAAAGAATTGAAAGCATTACTAATTACTTCTGTAATTTCTATCATAAATTACACTAAACCTTTTTGCACCAGTGTTTTTTCCCAGCACATTATCCATTGCTGGCAGTGGAAGGATTAAAAGTGCTGGCACTGAAGAGAGTGTGAGAAACTGCAAAAAAAAAAGAAGAAAAAAAACAAAGCAAGAAAAAATCTGCTCCTTAGTATCAGGTTGGAGAAGAGCCAGTGCAGGTGTATGGAGAGTTTCTATTGGAAAACATGCTTCCACATTCTGAAGTATGTAACTCTCTCTCAGGAAATTTTCCAGATTTCAGTTGAAATTATTTTATCTACTAGGAGTTTTTACATGGCATTTACACATTTCCGTTCAGTTGTGATGTCTCGTGTATGTTTTTACATCAACTTGCAGACTGTATTCCATATCTCAACGTAAGTCACAGACAACTCTGTGCTAAGCTGAAGCAAGTATATGAGTAATTAGAAAAATAATAAAGCTAAAACTAATAGATAAACACCTACTTATATATATATTTGTTCAGATTTAACTGGAAATTTGTATGTCTGCTACTGGACATTGTAAAATAAATTACTAGAACATGAACATACTGCTTCAGTGTTCTTTGTGTGCGTTTCTATTCAAGCAACATTTTTCCGAGCTTGTGTCATTAGGAGTCTCACAGGTATCTCCACATAAAGCATGGAAAAATACCTGGGCGGTTGCTCTCAGCACCACACTACCTGAACATGCTAGGCTTACTGAAGTGTATGTCTGTGGGGGGGCAGGCATGAAAATCAATGTAATTGAACAGCCAGTAAGTCATTTGGTTCATCAGAGGAAGGGCATAATGGCCAGGCTAGATAGGAACAGAAGACTGATCCTGGAGACACACAGGTTCCCTCCTGCTGACCACGTAATATGTTTTAAAGCTGCCTGGGGATGGTGAGAGCCAGCACTTGTATAAAAGGTAGGCTGGTGACTGCAGCACTTATTCAGGAAGCAGAACTCTCTACAGATCAGCCTCCAGGAAAGCTTTCAGCTACTAGGGGCAAGTTATTTGTGAGATTCTGAAGCATTCTCTTAATTCCCAACACTGCTTTTCAGTGCTGCTTTTCAGAGAATTTCACTTTAAACAAGTTAGAAAGAAAAATGAGCATGGGTAAAGTGAAAGTCTGATTGCCTAGTACTAGGTGAATGTAGAGGTCTTTGACAATTCTTCTGCAGCTCTATTTGAAAGAGGACAGCACTCCTTTCACAGGTCAGAAAAAAAGTGTTAGTACTTGCCCTCAGGAGAGGCCCCAGGACTGGGATCATGAACCAGCAGAAGCAGCCCTTAACTACAGATGATGTGTCAGGAGAATCCCTGCCCAGAGTTTTCCTGTTTCCTTGCAAAGGGGGTGCCAATCGGTACCTACAAGCTGTGTGCTCATACCTGCTCTCCCCCTGCACCAGTCAGTCTGGACACCTCCAGTGGGCTCCAGGACATCCTCCAGGAACAAATCACTACAAAGTTAAGCAGTGTGCTGCCCACCATGCAGGTGGATGAATCCTTCATCAGATCTTGGCACCGGCTCTTCTCTCTTGAGTTCTAAAACACTTGAAACTCAAGAGAAAAAAATCCACATCTTTTCTGTGACATACTGTGTAACTCATTATGCAATGTAACACACACGGCTGCCTCTATGTAGTACCTTATGCTGATCTTGTTTAATAGCTACCAGTGCAGTTGTCAGCTGAAGAGTTATTTAATAAGCATAATAAAAATAATGAACCTAAAGTTGCACCTCTGTCACACAGCAAAACTGCAAGAAAAAGGTTTTGAGCTTTATCATAAATAACATTAGCCAAGTTACACAAAATTCACTGTGCTGTAAAACAAGAACTCCGTTTTAATCAGTTTCTAACTGATGATCTTATTTAACAACAGACAGAACTGCTCCTTCCTGATTACAGGCTTGTATCTGAATACCGTGTTTTTTTGAAAGACAGCAGGGACTTTATATGTTATGCTAAGAGAAATTTACCATCCCTGCTCTAACCTTACAATCTCATTTCCTGGAAAGCAGCAGAACCCCCTGTATATTTTGCAGAATCACCTGAGGTGAGAAAAAAAGGCCTTTGGGGGGGGAAATAAATAAATACTTAATGAAGAGCTTTTTTTTTAAATCAAAGTATATTTATTCAAAACACTTCTGTATTTTTTTTTCCTTTTTAAAAGTGCTGATACTGTTACAGAAAATAACTTTTCACTTCAAAAGGAAGAAACAAATCCTGCAAAAATTTAAAAAGAGAATAAAATTACTGTATTTCAAACAGAAGTACTTGTACAATTTTTAATTAAACACTTTTTCTGCGAGATCTAGGATTCAGTGGGATATGTCTTGAATTTCAAGGAGTGACAGCTCCATCAAGCTGTTAGAGAAATGCTAGTATATATAGTATATATATTTGGAAAATTATAATTAGTGTCTAAACAGCTTCATCTTTTGAAGAGAAAACTCAATGGACAGTTGAGATTGGTCAAAAACAGGCCTTAAAAGTGAAGTGATAGGGTTTTACTTTCCATTTTGACTGTTGGTCTCACCAGCCATTTACTTCCACTACAAATGGTTCTTTTACACCTATTTTGCCACTGTTCACAATCACACAGTCTTGAAGGGGCCGGTCATGTTCATCTGTCTGTTGGAGTTCTATTGTGTGTACCACAGACTGTTAAAAGAAAAAACAAACACACACAAAAAAAAAAAAAAGAGTTCAGTTTAGCCAAGGAGACTCCAGTGGCTCAAGTCTGGTAACTGGTGAACTACTAAGTGCTTCTAGCATTACTATTTACTAAGGCACTTCTGAACAAAGACCTTTACCCTGCTGAGTTCCTGCATGTTGGGCTTTTTCCCACATAAACAGTTGTGCCGCTCTGCAACCTCACACACAGTTGACAGAAGTACATGGAAGGCTGCTTGCCCTTCTAATAAAAACATTCAGTCAACAAAAACCTTATGAAGGTGCAACTGAAAATACCCTTTAAGCTGATCAACCCAGAACATACAGGTCCATATGTAGCCTATGAGCAGAAAGTAAACCCAGAGACTGTGGAAGGATGAGGAAAATTCTTTTTCTAATCATGCAGCTTAACTGTGCTTCAAGAAATCTGACAACTACTTTTATCTTTAGCGTAGCACACACACATTTTAAGTGTGGTACCATGCCCTCCAGTCAGACAGGTACAGGCAAACTGCTGGTCTTATGCTAGGCAACAAATTAAAGTAGCATTTTTAATGGAAGAAATTCAGTTATGATCATTACTTCTTAGCTTTGGTTATTTGTTCATTAATCCAACTTAAACTATAACTTAAGTCTTACGTCTCTCCTCAGGAATTTTCAGCTACTACTGTAGCTCATGAGAACTTAATTCAGTATGAATGTGGAAGTGGGGGACAAGTGTTTTAAAGAAGTCTTCAGACTCCTCAAAGAACTGGTCAGTGCAGCAGTTCATGTTTCCCCCATTGATTTCAAAACACAAGACAAAATTAAATAAATTAAAAGGAAAAATCAGACTACTAAATGTATAATCAGTTGGAAATACTATTTAAACTTACATTCTGTTTGGCCTTTGATCAGCTTTGCAGCTGTGTAAAGTTTAAGGAAATTAACTAGACATTTTTTTTCATTTTTAGACAGACCTGAGTAAGCGTTTATGTTCTTTACATTCACATGCTTCTAAAAACCCTAACAGTGAAAGTTTTATCCATAACTAGCACATGCTATACACAATTAGATTTTAGCTTGCAGAAATACAACTATTTCATGGCTAACAGTGTTAGTGAAAGGGGGACCTGAACTTACTCCATTTGTAACCTGCAAAGGTGTAAGTGTTGACTTCAGTGGCTACGGTGTGAAAAAAGAGCTGCGAAAGTGAAAGGTATGATTTAAGTTTCTATTTCTGCAGTCACCATTTACTGTTCCAGTTCTAAATCCTCCAGCCACAGGCTCTTCACCAGTGTTTTCTATCACATACATGTTAAACTCAGTTGTTTTGAACCAAAATGCTGTAAGGTACACTAACCCAGATAAAATGCGGCAGAATTTGTCCAGAGTTCTTGAGTTAATTACTTTTAGCTTACCATTCCATCAAGCACTTTGCCAAATACTACATGTTTTCCATCTAACCAGGAAGGCTTTGTCACACTGATGAAAAACTGGGATCCATTGGTATCTGGGCCTGAATTAGCCATGCTAACCCATCCAATTCCATAGTGTTTGAGCTTGAAGTTCTCATCTGGAAACCTTTCTCCATAGATGCTTCTTCCTAAGACACAACAGACAAAAGCAAACTCTGAAAAAAAAAATTATCAAAAAAATGCCTTTTTCATAAAAAATGAGAAAACAGTATAAATTCAGGACTTGAAGATTCACTGCTTGAGTAAGCACAGCAATCACTGTGATCCATCACTCTTCCATCATCAATGATTCTGTAACTAAAAGCATTTTGTTTGTAATGAAAAAGATACACTAAAACACCACGTATAAGGAGATAATATTTAAAGCAAATGATGCTTTATCCTTCAAATTTAACAAGCAAGATGAGTATACCTTGTCCTGCTTATATACCCCTCAACACACTTCATCCTGGTCAACAAATTTAAATTACAAAATTACAGCCACTACAAATAAGGCTGCTGTGTTTTGTGATAATTCCAGTCTTTACTTTCACAACTTTTCCTACTAATGAGAAATTGCTTTAGACAAGTTTAGAAATATATGAAGACCAACTGAAAGCCTAAAAGAACTCAGTGTGCATTTGTACAATCATTACATAAGAATCCTGAGGTTTCAAAAGTAGCTCTGAAGAGAAAACACCCGAGTCATGTTTAAACCACCATCACTTTGAAAAGATATTGCTGTCTCATTCTTTATTTGTATAGTGCCTAGCACAATGGGGACAATGCTCCCAATACTGCCAGGTACTATCCCAATAAACAGTGTTTGCAGGCAAACAAACACTGCCTACCTTTAATGCTAAAACTGTCTTTTGCATTTTAGCCTTCCCCATTGTTCACTGCAAGGAAAAGTAATGTGTGTTTTCCATTCTGTCCCAGCAGGGAAATCAGTAACATTGTATGCAGACAGTTCAAATCACAGCACATGAAGAACATGCATGTAATGGAAGAGGAGAAATCATAAGCCAGAACACATGCAATGCAAGAGATGCTGTGCTGGGACTGCCTTCCTTAGTGGACTGAACTGGTCTTCCAGAGGCTTAGGAGACAGAAGCCAAACACTGCCAGAACTCACACCATCAGTAAGTTTATGGTTTTAAATTTCATAGGAGAAAGGAGAAAGTATGACCCTCATTTTCTAATTTCTCTACCCCCGCTTTGAAACATCCTCTCACAGCACATTTCAGAAGGTTCCACAAAACCAACTGAGGTGAGGGCCAAGAGGACAACCTACTCCTTCCCTACTTGCCTTCTGTCTGCACGCTTTCCGTTTCATTGCAGATTAGTTTCCTGCTGGATGACTTGAACTAGTTCACATAGACATGCAATCAATGAGTGTCTCAAGGAAGGAGCGCTGTCGCAAAGCCAGAGCAGGGGAAGGGCGGAGACATCCATGTTTTGGAGACAGTAGCTTGTAGGAACAGCTCATCTGGTCACATGGCTGCAGCCCACCATGCAAAGTCATGCTTCTTGAATGGGGACAAATCAAAGACAAGAAAGAGCTATCTGCAAAAACTGAAGACAAAGGAAGCTCTACACATATTTATAATCAGGTAATCCAAGTAATTGCAGCTTATGTTCCAAGATGCACGGAGAAGTACTAGATGCTCTAAAACAATCGTGTGGGGTTTTTTAGTTCATGTGAGCTGAAAGAATCAGGGAACTTGCTTTTCTGCCCATCTTTTCAGCAGAAGGGAAGGGAACTTTTTTTCAGAAGAAAAGGAAGGGAACTTGGAAGACACTAAGCATGTTACCTCCTGATCCATCTCCAGCTGTAAAGTCTCCTCCTTGAATCATGAAGTCTTTGATCACACGGTGAAATTTACTTCCTTTGTATCCATAACCTCTCTAAGAAAATGAAATTATCCTTTAAATTAATGCAACAGCCAATTCTACACAGTCATATGGAAATAACAGTCGGATACCACAGCATATACCACCACCAGACACATTTGGCAAGAAACAAATTAAACTGAGGGGCAGGTGAATGCAGCTGGGCTGCATTGCCACAAAGCAGTGATTCAAGAGATCAAACCCATTGTCCTTATTTGGTGTGTGACCACAATACCTCTACGTGCTAGATCTGCATGGCAGGGGCAGTCTGAGGTGGTAACATCTAACATCTCATAATTACATCTTGTGAATCAAGACTCAAGGGCCTGAGAAAATACATGCCAGTACACCGCCCTGGAGTTGGCACTCTTGCACAGGCTCCACCGAATTAAGATCAACAGTTCACAACTGAAACAGCATTAAACAAATATCTACTTTCCAATCCAAACCTGAGTACATAGCGGAAGAAAACTGCAAACATACTTCTCCAGTTGCCAGTGCAATGAAGTTCTCCACAGTCTTTGGGACAACTTTTCCAAACAATCCGATTACAATTCTGCCAACATCTTTGTCTCCAATCTTCACATCAAAGAAAACCTGAACATTTTTGTCAAGAGAATAAAAGTGATACAAACATGAGTGCAACAAAAAGGCCAAACTTTTGAAAGTGTAAGAATCTGCTTCTGGCTGATCTATATTAATAATATCCTTCAATTCTTGAGAGTGCTGTTTAAGAAAAATCCATTCAGACCTACCAGAATCAGATTATACAGAAAAATTCTTGAGACCTATTCATTTTGATTCTTATGGCTTTTAAGGATTCAGCAAGATTACTGTATAACATGTTTGAATGTACTGTCCAAGAAGTTTTTTCTCAGACAAACGTGTCTTTAAAGCTGTAGAGAAAAGATGAAATGTGAAAGTAAGGAAGAACAACGCTGCTATTCAAGTGTGGTGAACAATAACATGGAACTACAGTACTGATCCTCTCCACAAACAATAGTTTGCTATCCACTCATAATCTTCACTGTTCTAGGCATTGGTATGTATGCAATGAAGTAGAGGCAAAAGTCTGAACGTCATTGAATTGACAGTGGGAAGAAAATCCTACAGCTGAAGCAAGAAGTTGCCTTCCTAAAAATTAATTAAAACCTACTAGGGAAA